AAGGAGGAAAAAGAAACAAAGGAAGGAAGGAGGCGAGGGAGGAAGGAAGGAAGGAAGGAAGGAAGGAAGGAAGGAAGGAAGGAAGGAAGGAAGGAAGGAAGGAAGGAAGACTGGTTTAACTAGAAGCAGTTACTTCCCCAGATCTGCTTTTTGTCTCTGGATTTTCCTGTTCTGGACATTATATATGAACCATATGTGCTGGCTAGTTCTATGTCAACTTGATATGACCTAGAGTTATCTGAAGGGAGGGAAACTCAGTTGAGAAAATGCCTCCATAAGTTCAGGCTGTAAGGCATTTTCTTAATTAGTGATGGATGGGGGAGGGCCCAGCCCATGGTGGGTGGAGCCATCCCTGGGCTGGTGGTCCTGAGTTCTATAACAAAGCAGGCTGAGCAAGTCACAAGGAGCAAGCCAGTAAGCAGCATCCTCCCATGGCCTCTGCATCAGCTCCTGCCTCCAGGCTCCTGCCCTCACTGCTTTTGATGATGAACTGTTATATGAAACTGTAAGTGAATAAACCCTTTCCCCCCCAAGTTGCTTTTGGTTATGGTGTTTCATCACGGCCATAGAAACCTTAAGTAAGATACCATCTAAACAGAATCATATAATCCAAGGCCTCTTATGTCTGTTTCCTTCACTTAGCATGATGTTGTTAAGGTTCATCCATGCTGTAGTATGTTTCAGTTCTTCACTCCTTTTTTTCTGGCCAAAAAAATCTGCCATCTTATTGGTATATGTTTTTCATGCATTCATCCATCTATTAATGGTATTTGAGCTGCTTTGATTTTCTAGCTGTTGACATAATACCACTCATAAAGACTTGAGCCTAAGGTTTTGTGTAAACATGGCCTCAGTTCTCTGGGGGCACATACAGGGTGAAATTGCTGGGTCACAGGCAACTCTGTTTAACTCTTTGAGGAACTTCCAGACTACATTCCAAAGCAAATACTCATCATTTTACATTGCTGCCAGAGTGGGGGAGGGTCCCAGTCTCCTCTCGTCTTCACCAGCACCTGTGAGGCGCTGTGGATAGGTCACACCTTTTCAGTGCTGATAGCTGTGAGGTGCTACCTCAGTGTGGTTTTCTCTGTGTGACTTTCATTGAGTTTCCTGAGTGCACAATAGTGTTGAGCATCTTTTCACAGATTCTAGAACCTTCCCGGCTGTTTTGTTAATGCTTTAAGGATCTGGCTGTCCTAGTTAGGGTTACTATTGCTGTGATGAAACGCCACAACCAAAAGCAAGTTGGGGGTGAGGGGAAGGGTTTACTTGGCTTTTACTTCCACATTATAGTCCATCACTGGAGGAAGTCATGGCAGGCACTCAAGCAGGGCAGGAGCCTGGGGACAGGAGCCAATGAGGGGCCATGGAAGAGTGCAGCTTACTCAGGCTGCTTTCTTATCAGCCCAGGGATGGCCCCACCCACCATGGGCTGAGCCCTTCCCCATCAATCACTAATTAAGAAAATGCCCTACTGGCTTGTGTACAGTTTGGTCTTATGGAGGCATTTTCTCAATTGAGGTTCCTTCCTCTCTGGTGACTTTAGTTTGTGTCAAGTTGACATAAACTTGGCTTACGGACCAGCATTAATTGTCACTCTTGGTGCAGAATCCCATTCAACTCTTGGAACTCCTAGAATGCACATGCAAAAATGAGAGGAACTAAAGAAAATATGCATCCACTGCCCAACACCAAGTACCAGGAAGTTTACCGACCATTTTACTACAGTTTTCTGGTAATTCAGGAAAACTAATAGTGAGAGGCTTGGGGAGGTAACTCTTGGAAGCACTCAAAGTGGTTGCCATGGCAGCATGGGCATCCAAGATCCCCAGAACTTCTGCAAAACCGTCAGGTGTGATGCACATGTATAATCACAGTGCTGGAGAGGTAGAGACAAGAGGATCCTGGGGCTTGCTGTCAGCCAGGCTGGCCTAATTGGTGAGCTTCAGTGGGAGACACTGACCCTGTCTTAAAAATGAAAAGAGGCTAACACCTGAAAGAGGCTAACACCTGAGGCTGTCCTCTGATCACCACACACACACACACACACACACACACACACACACACACACACACACACACAAGAAGACAACTAGTAGCTTCATTTTATAGCTAGTACGTGGTACCCACGGGATCTGAGCCCAGGTACCTGTAGCTCCAAAGCCTAGGCTGTTCTTAATGTGCACATGGTGGGTACTCTACAGAGACAATAAAGCTGAACACCCCTAGTCCCAAAAGCTCCAGTACCCCAAACCTTGTGAGCCCTGGTGTGGTGCCACAGGTGGAAACTCTGTACCCTGAGACTGTCTAATGTCCAAAACTATTATTTAAAATATTGAGGACTCAGGCTTTATCCTGGGGTAAAGTGCTTCTCTAGCATATCTGAAGCCCTCAAGTCAATTCCCAGGACTACACCAAAGTAAATAAATAGAATGCAAAATTACTTTTAGTTTATGACACTGGCCCCATCCCCAGGATATTTCATGTATATATAAATATTCTAAAACTTAAAAACAACAACAACTCTGAAACACACCTTTATCCAGTAGCAGCAGTAAGCCCATGACTGCTTCTTGATGATTGTGTTGGCATGAGCCAGGTGTGGTGGAGCTCGTCTGAGGGAGACCCACAGTGCCTGGGTGTCAGGGTGTCACAGAAGGTGGCCTTGGGGCTGGCTTTAACATGGCCTTGGCTTCCCTGGTTGAAAGCAGAAACAAGGCTCAAAGCAGGTTAAGCGGAAGGAAAGTTTTCTGGCTGGAAGTGGGGGCTAAGCAAGCAGCTTGTGTGATGAGTAACCGGAAATTGGACCCCAAGAACAGCCCGAAGCTAAGACTTACACCCTGCAAGAATGCTCTGGCCATCTCATGTCTCTCTGCATGTACCAGCTTCCTCCTTGTTCCCCACAGACCACATCCTCTGCACAGAGGGGAAGATGGTTGCCGGCAGCTTAGGGCTTCCACTGTGAGCTGGAAATCATGAGCTGCTTTCTCAACTCTAGTCTGAAATATCTTGGGATAAAGCAGTTCCAGGAAAAGATTCTAATTGGCTTGTTGAGTTAGGTGCCAGCTTTGGACCAATCATCTATAGTCAGGAGGTAGGACCGTTTCTGTAAGGAAATGGTTGTGGGTGTGAAGGGAAAGACCTCAGGAGAAGACCATAAAGACTTTGATCCTGCAAAGGAAGATGCTGGGTAGATAAAACCAAATGTGCCAACAGGGCCTTGATAGATGCATAGGCATTGCAGAAGATACAGGCATTTGGCAGGGTGTGCACAGGAGGCAGAGAATCTGTTGTTCACAAAAGCACCACCTTAGGGGGATCCAGACACCTGGCTGCACTGAGCAGGGATTGCCTTTTACATAACACACGACAGGTCACAGTTTATAAAACACTCGCATAGACACTACCCACATAGTCTTCCCAGTGATGGTGAAGGGAGATGAAGGGGATATTATTATAACTCTAAGGAAGCAGACACTGAAGCTCAGAGAGGATATAAGACTTGTTCAAAGTCATTCATGCTCGAGGGGACACATGGCTGGGACCCACATCCAAGTCCTTCCTGACCCTGTATCCACTGGCCACTTACCGCCGATGTGTGGACATTCAAGACCCATGTTGGAGCCGAAGACTTGCTTGCAATGTCCTGAAGAGTCAATGCAGTTGTTTTCTAGGACTTAGAGAGACATCTTTACATCTGCCAAGAGCTTTGCAGATGCTGGAGGGATGGGGCTTAGAGAAGCAGAAGAAAAACAAAGGAGAAATACTTCTAACACTTCTGTGTTTGCCTAAGGCAGGGACCTTTCAGCTGGACACTTACGCCCCCCTCATTTTCCTGGGGATCAGTCTGGCAGCCTTGAGCTGATTTTTAAGGGTTCTGTGACACTACAAGAACTAAGAAGCCCTGGGCAGATTACAATGTGCATGCCTAGCCTGAATTTCACTGGTTCTCACCAGCGTGCCAATGGACTGTTATGGTAGAAGGAATGTCTGCCAATGTCCGGCAAACAGCCTTTGGGAACCTGCTGCTTCCTTAAATGCACAGCTGGCACTTGACATCCTGGTCATCACTCCTGTCACCGTCAGCCTGGGCTCTTTCCTCTCTGTGGCCCACTTCCTCTGCTTGGTGGTCACTTGCTTTGTCTCTTGAATAAGCTGTATGAGTCTGGGTATTTTCAGGTGCAAGCAACAGAAAATTGGACTGAAACTGGCTTTTACAAATAACCACCAGTGGGATTGCCTTACAGTCCTGGAAAGTCTTGGGCACAGCTTCATCCAGGGTGACAATGAAGAATCGCAGCTCTTCCCCTGAGCCAGTCAGTATGGTCCTAGTCTCTTGCTGGCTCGGATCCCCAGGTTCCAGTTGCAAGGTGGCTAGTCCACAGCATGGAAGGACTCCGAGCCCCCTCTGGGGATCAGCAGGGACCCCTTGTGGCAGACACTGTGCTCTATATAACTTCTCTCTTTGTCTTGTCTCAGCCGTGGCTCTTCCAGGCCCACCTGGCCCTCCAGGACAGCCAGGACTCCCAGGATCCAGAAACTTGGTCAGTATCGTGTGTATTAGCCACTCCACATTGGATAGACTTACCTCAGACTCTGGTGACAGTGTTTGGGGGGACAGAATCCCTTTTATTTTGGAATTAGAACTCTCTGACAGGGGCTGGGAACGTAGCTCAGTGGGCTGGCTGTTTTCCTGTTGTAGGAGGCATAGTTTGATCTCCAGCACTACGTAAAACCAGGCATGGTGGAAGATGCCTGCTGTCCTAGCACTTAGGAGATGGAGGCAGAAGGATCCAAAATTCAAGGTTGTCCTCAGCAATACAAGTTAGAGGCCAGTCTGGGATACACGAGACCCTATGTACAAACAAACAAACAAACAAAATTCCAGGACAAAAGAATGTGCCATTCTACCAGCAATAGATGGCCATTTATTTCCTATTCAGACAACTTGTTCAATAAAGAGCTACAAAAAACAAAATGATTGATTATTGAAGTTATAGCCTGTGAATCTTTAAGTGACTGAAACCCAATCATGTTCTATTTTTAAAAACAGCGCACACACGTGTGTAAACACCACCGCAGGTGCTTTGATGGTCACACTCACCCCAGGTTGTTGCTCGGCTGGAGCATAGCTCAAGTACATCCCAGCCCCACAGCACACTTCAGGGTATGGCTTGTCTGCACTGATACAATGCGGAGAGACAGACAAGGCCCTACCAGACTGTCTGCAGCCTGGTACTTACTGGGTTTCATTCTTAAAAAGACTGACTTTCAAAAGACAAAGCTATCCAGTAGATGACAAAACTCAGCCATTTTCCTCTTTGGGGGATTTCCGTGCCACTCTGATGACTGATGTTATTGTCAAGGTGAGATAAAAGGGTTTTTTGTTTTTGTTTTTGTACTTTTTCTCAGTTGCAATGAGACTCCTGGTTGATAGGTCCTTGAAACTTGGTGCTATTCAGAATCTTTTTTGCAGCTTCAGCCTCCTGAATCTGCTTCCTGATATGCTAAACGGCTGCCATTCTTATTTTAGGCAAGTTTTGAGACAGAGATGCTGCAAGCCCCCGCTTTTTAAACACATATTTAATATTGCAACCATCTAGCTAGACGAAAGATTTAAGTGCTAAGTATAATTGCCCACTTGCTTGCATTTCTTACCCCAAATGAAAATGGATCTGAAAGTCACTAAGGAATGTGAGATGACGCCATTAGCCAGTGTAGATGCTACAGAGCTGTGTTTTAAAAAAAAAAATCAATGCAAGTGAAAAAAAAAAGCAATGTACTGATGATTTTGCTAAAACCAAAACCCAGCAAAGATAACTCTGTTGCTACATCTTTATCTACCCAGGAAATTATCATTTGTGTTTTTACTCATTTTTTATAATTTAGACTTGTGGCTCAAAGCAATGCATTTTTTTTTTCATGGAAAAGAACTCCCTTAGCCAAGCATGATAACACACTCCTGAAATCCCAGCACTTGGAAGGCTGAGGCAGACGGATTATGAGTTCAAGGCATGTCTTGGCTACAGGGAAAACGTCTCAAAAAACTAGGGGCTGGGGAGAAGATCAGTGGGTCAAGTGCCTGGCACACAGGCATGGAGATCCCAGTTCAGATCCCCAGCATCCACTTTTAAAAATAAAAAGCTAAGTGTGGTTGTGCACATCTATAACCCAGTGCTAGGGGAGTGGGAACAGAGACAAGTGGATCACCCAGAGCTTGCTGGCTGGCCAGTGTAGACACTCAACCGAGTGCTGGGTTCCATGTGTGACCTTGGCCAGAAAGATAAGAGAGAGAGCAAGTGATAATGTAAGAGGCCCCATGTCTACCTCTGGCACCTCACCGCACACACATACACACACACACACACACACACACACACACACACACACA